GTAGGTACTTAAATAATGGACTTTCCTACTGTATTTCCAAAGAGATTCCATATTGCACGCTCACCTTTTGGCACCTGAGTTTCTATGCTCTAGGCTTAAGTTTTTAATTTATTTTCTCTGTTTTCTTTAAATTTCAAGATACTTTTTAACTGTGGTAAAGATATGGCTACAGTGCACTTCAGTCAGCCATCCAGTTTGAACAAATGGAAAGCTAAGCCTAGCACAATATTAAATGACATTTAAACTTTCTGAATACTAGGCAGAAATGGAAAGAGTAATAGTTTGTAGGCTGCAGTAACTGGTGTAACCGGCAAAAGTGCAAAGCCAGAGCTCAGCTAATTAACTGCTAACAGTCCATAAAGTGTAAACACACAACTAAAACTGGAGTTTCCCTAAAACATGAATAAAACCAGAATCTTTTAAGTGGTCAGAAAACTGCTGAAGTGTAGGCTGGCTTCAGTTAAAACTGAATGGAAATGACTCCTAATTGAATATGAGCACCACCAGACTCTTTCAACCTATTTCCTCCCACGTAAGAATGGCTTTTCATTTAAAACTCATTTAGTCTGAATGATCTTGTCACACCTACTGGAAGTAATTCAGACACTTTCAGCTCTAGCTGGAAGAAGCCTATGAAAACTCTTTCTTCTGACATTGTCCTACAGATGAGAAAATATTCACTGTGGTTAAACCTTTGAAGTGATTTGGACTTTTGAATTATTCTTGTCTGACTAGAGAGCAATCTATAATCTTTTAGCAGAATGAAATTTGGTCAAAATTGTATTACGCCATGACTTTCCACTGCTGTAACTCCATGTGGAAATTACTTTTTAGAAAAGTAGAACTGTAACTGAATTGGCCACATTCTTGGATTAGAAGGGAGTTGTTAAAGCTAAAGTAAGTCCTAGCTCAGGGCTAATCTAAATCAATCTAAATTTCTCTTAATTATAATGCTCACTACTCAATCTACCTCTAACACAACGTTTTGGTCAACAAAATGTTTATTGCTCCAGCTTTCAGTGCAAGTGCCTGTAGGCCAGACAGATTGTTTATTTCTTTATTCTTCTGTTTCAAACTCAGCTCTGCAGCTGGAATTCTCTAGCAAAATGGCTTAAACAGAAATCTTAGGGAAAAGCATAAAAGAGAACTGAAAAATTCATAGGCTGAGACGCATATATACTATTTTGTAATGAATTTCAGATTATATGAAACATACCATATCTTACCATAAAAGGGAAATTATATGAAAAGATAAAATCAGAACCCTCAATTAAGAAACTCAGAATTATTTACTAACACTATGAAACTACTTGTGCTGTACAAGTCTGCTGAATAGGAAAGACACATTAAAATTGAATATAAATGTTTAGGATTTGATTCTAATTTTATGTTGAGCATGTCTGAAGATGGCTAAGGATAAATTTCACTATGTCCCTGTAGACATAAAGTTGATTGGCAGTGCACTAAAGCTGTGAGCAAAAATATACTCTATTAAGCAACGTAAATCAAGAGAACAAATACAGGCTTATGCCGAGCTTAAAAAATGGAGGATCTCCATTGCCCATGCATCTTCACAGGATTCCAGAGACTTGCTAAAGATTTCAAATCAGAAATATGACTGCATCAAACTTCCAAATATCCATTTTTATTTTTGTGGGACTTTGTGTCTTCTTACCTGTTTTATATTAAATCTCACTAAATTTCCTTACAGTTAGAAGTCCATCTATGGACAGAGGAAGAAAGAATAGAACAGTTACTCTAATGTGTGCTTCAGATTTCAGGGAATGGAATAACTCACAAGGGAACAGTGCAAGTTACAGACCCTTTCGTGGCTGCATAAACTCAACACATGTAACAGCTGAGTATTGATACCCTGCCAAGTTCTGCGCTGCTGCACAATTACTTAAAAAATCCCACCTAAATTACCATTATCTCCGCAAGAAATTCCTACAGCCTCTGATCTCAGGAGTTGCTCACAGCCACGGAAACAACCCTGTTTTGTAACTGTGAGGCTGAACATCAGCTGGATCACACTATTTTTCCCAGTGGCATTGTTTATAGGTTAGCAATGTCACGATGTCACAGGGGAATCACTTCCAGGAGAATCCTCTGGTGTTCTACAGACTGCACTGCAGAGCCCTAAGGAAGACCACTAACCTTGGTAGGAGGATTAAACAATGATGTGGCTTTCTAGAAAAGGTTGCCAGTGGGCTGCATCATCTTCAGCATCAACTCTCAGCTGGGAAACAAATGGCATCTGGTAAACTGGCACTTGGTAGTTTTCCTCTGCCACAGGAAGACACTAACACCAGTTCACATTCTGTTCCAGAACGTGTGATGTAAAGTCACTGTTTTCTGAATTGCTTTTGTAGTAATGTCTTATTTTTAGCTTCTGCTGCTTTAATGTGTAGTTCCAAAAAAAGCACAACAAACCAGCTGTTGCCTTTTTATTTATTTAGCAAATTAGGATATTGATTTTGTACCAAATTAATTTCTTATGAAGATTTCTGTTTCGAGTTCTTCAAAACCATTTCTGCTTGCTTGTGTCTCCTGATAAGATCAAAGTACAGTTGACTAATATTGTCCTGAAACACTTTTAGTTAACTTCAGCTTGTTTCTGTCTCAGGAAGCAGATGACTAAGGTCCATTATTTGTTACTCTGCTCTCTGGTGTGTTTCAATGGTTTCCTTAGAAGCTGGCAATGGGTGCACACAAATTTGTAATTTCGATGTTTGCTGCATGCTCAAACACCTGACTTTGTAGCATGTAAATGAAATTAAAACAAGGTCAGGCTAACTTACTTCCAGCAATCTTTGGCCCCTAATATAAAACTCAAACACATGAAACATATTATTGTTTTCAGAAATTAGAAGTCAGGGTTTAAAGTTGAAGGCTTTGTTAAAAAATGGGCCACTCAGTTTAAATACTTAGTGTGACCTTAACTGTTTTAGGCAAATTACATTTCAGATAATGGGTTGTGTTAGAGTCCATTAAGATGGACTTTGTCTTAGAAAAACAGTATATTAACTTGGAACTTATCAATAATCCAAGAACTATACAAAAGACAATGCAAGAAATGCCCCATTTTTTTTTCTACAAAACAGGGATCAAGTATTTAATTCCTTTGATGAAATATACTAATTCAGTTTCAAAGAGCCTCAAATCAATCCAAATAATATCTATTCCTTAACAGCACAAAATTTCTGACTGGAGCACAGCTGATTTTCAATAGAAAGGCACACATACTCATTCAACCAGGAGTATGCAAGACAGAATATTCTTCAATATTCAGTTCTAAGATAGCATGAGCTTGAAAACTTTCCTTTTGCTGCTCTTAAAAACCCTGTTTTTCTGATTGTTACATACCTGCATGTACCTGCCTTTGGAAAATGTCTTAAATTTAAGTAAGTCTGTAGTGGTACAAACATTGAAGAAAAGTAGGGGGAGCAAGTAGGTTTGCATAAGTAGTAAGATGTTTTATCAGCTTACCCCAGCTGTAATTTCTTCCAGCTGTAAGACATTTGTTATGGGGTTTTGTGTTTATTGTGGTTTTTGGTTAGTTTTTTTGTTTGTTTGTTTTTTCTGTTGTGTTGTTTCAGTTTTTTTAATCAAAACTTCACTCCTGGAGTTAGACAAAAAGTAATTTATTGCCAGAAAGCTTTCACAGTGATTTGTATTTCACAAGATGAATAGACAGTTTCAGAAAGAAAAACAAAGCTGTGGGAAAAAAACAAAAGCAGTAATTTTTGTCCTGGAAACAAATGACAGCACTCCCTAGGTGTCTTGTGATGTAGATGTACTTCCTTCAGGACACTTTGACAAGAACTTTGGATGCAATCCTTGGGCTCAACTTGTGCTTCTGTCACCATTCCTGTGCAGCACATTCTGTCTGCAGAAGAACACAGGGTCTTCTGGCAGCCGTTAATTACACAGACGTGAGCGTAACACCTTCCTTGTAGGCTGCTGAACCCATGGCAGCAGAAGACATTACATTAAGAACTACTTATGAACACCGACTTTGCCTCCAAAGGTCAAGAGAAAAAAACAGTGACTTGAGCCATTCTCTCCATGTCCTGTGTCACTGAAGAATTTTAAGCTTGTGAGCTATGTTTATGCAGGAAAAAGACTCATGTAACAGATACCTGAACCTTCTCGCCTCTCATTACAGGACTTTAAAGCTTGCATTTTGAAATTGTGTAATTTTAATCAACAGTATGCAGCAAAACGTAGCTTAACTATGATAAAAGGCTGAGCAAGTAAAAGAGCTGGCTGATTAAATGAGAAGCAGAACAGTCTTAAATGTTACGAATTATGTCCAACAACTGTTCTAATGAAAGCTAGAGAGAAAAAAATTGGTAGCTTTGGTTTTTATTTCTTTCCCTCTAGGATCTTCAAGTTCACACAAAATAACTTCACTGTTCATTTAACCATAGGGCTAAAACATTTGTTCTATAGTTCTAACATTTAAACAGTCTAGAATTACATCTGCAGATGACTGCTTGTGCAATGTCCCCATCTTAAACAGTTCTGGTCAATCAAACACTGCCTTCTTTGATAGGAGTTTAACAAGCTTTACTGGCATCTGGTTCTTTCCAGGATGATAAGAATAAAAATCTGGCTCAATGTATTTTTTAAAACAGGAAATTAGGAGTGCTCTAGACTTTTTAAAATCTCTTAAATACTTAGTGTGATTTTCATTTATCCCCAGACTTCTGTAAAAGCTTTTCATTTATCCCCAGTCTTTCACAAGAGCTTTTTTCTCCCCTATTTTTTTCTCTTTTCTTTGGTTTTGTTTTAGTATCACAGACTGATGTGTTAGAATGAATTTGCTAGAAGTCTCTATTAGAGAAGTTAGCGACAAAAGATCTGAAAATGAGATTGTATCAAATCCTTGTAACATTTACTTATCACAATAAGAAAGTATCTCTCAGTAACGTGCAATACTCGCCTATAGCTACTTGAGCAATCTGAAGGAAGAGCTATTATTTAACCCTGCAGGGGAGCTTGAAACTGGCTGAATTTATTTTCCATTTTTCTTTAATTCACAGAAAGCAGCAATACATTTTAGAAATGCTTATTCAGCTTCAGGTATCTCTTCTAAAGGTAACCTGTGGTATATTTGATGCACATCTTCCCTCGTTACTTCAAACACACCTAAATTTTGAGGTAATTTAGGAAAAGACATAAGAGCACTTGCAAAAAATAAAAGCAGATCAGTATTAAAATTTTTTAGGCAGGATAAAAAGAAAACTATTTTGTCTTCCTTTTGCTACAAATAGATTCAGCATAATACACTTCAAAAAACAAAATAATCAAGCCACAAAGTCCAAGTGAATTTCTAAAGCAAACCTGACTTAAGCAAGCATTTCACCTGTGTTAACATTTCAGGGATTGGTCCCACAGCAATAGAGAAGACAAAGCATTCCTGAGGCAGATTGTCTCAGGTCATTTTGCATCTCACTTACAGGGATACAGGAAGGAAATGAAAAAAATTTACCGAAATTAAAAATCAAACCTGGTAATGCTGTCTGCCATGAGGGCAAACAACGGTCCCTCTCTACAGTAGCATCTCCATTTATGCCTGCCAGTACTGACTGTCAGTATTAGCTGCATGAAGGAACACATACCCAGGGAGATTTGGGGAAATGCCAGCAGTGGTGTCCTGCTGTCCCACAAGGCCCTTTCAGTATTCCAGAGATACAAGGCAAGTGCCTTGGGAAGGCCTGAGATGAAACCTGTAAGTTTAGAAGACAATCCTCTGCCCACTCAGTGATAAAGGTGTGCCACACTTTCTCTGTGATAATTCCAAAAAGGAACTCTGATTCAAAATGTGACATCTTCTGGCTGCATGAAGATTATTCCTTTGCAAAGCATGATTTTGTCCTCTCATTTATAGGCTATACTGCGATACTCTGAGATATTTTTACAGTTGTGAAGATATGTTTTGAAAACAACATAGACAATGCAAGTTATAGGTTTTCATATGGAGTTAAGAAAGCTAATCGGAGTCTTCATCATCAAGGTATTCCTCTGCATTACTCAATGTTCGGACTGTACCTGGAAAGAAACAAAATTAAAAAAGAGTACGAAAAATACCAAGCACAGAAGTAACAAGACTAATTCACAGAAGTGATAACCATGTTATCTCAGATTTCTGGAAGAAGAAAAATGAGTAAGTTTAAGATGAACCTGCTCAACCATTTTGGGAAAGAAATCTAAGTGAAAAAGATCACGTTTCTCTTTTTTAGGACAAGCAACAAAGGGAAAATAGGAAGAAAAGATATTGCAGAGCCCTGTGCTCAAAGGGCCATACCTCAAGAAAGGACAAATTAAATTTTTTTCTGTACATTTCTTTTACTTCCTTGTTTAGCATCACAATTAACGCATTCTTTTTGCATTTCTATATCATGATTTTAATGATTTTAATTTTTAGAACATACTTCAGCAATTGACATTTGAGTATCTGTCTGTACACATAAAGCATAAACCTTAACACTGAAGTGGAGACAAAGTAAGCTTCCTCCAATAAAACAGTTTTAGAGACGGGCTATGATAGAAACCTTATATAAAAAGGAACGAGGGAGCGAAGACTACTAACATAGAACTGAATCTCTGAAAAAGAACAGTGTTTCACTTCCAGACATTGGAAACACTTAAATGCAGACTCAAGAGACAGAAAGTTTAAACCAGTGAAAATAACCTAGAAAATACAAAATGCAAGAAAAGTATACAGATCAGTGGTATCAGAGATATTATCAAAGGCCAAGTTGAGACAGAAAAAGTAACAAGGATGCTAATACTGAAACTGCAGTTGACTATCAGCTGTTATATCAAGGCAAGCAAAAAAAACAGGGTGTGAAATTACCAGAGACTGCTGATAGATGAGGTGACTAAGGACAAAAAAATCAGTAAGTCATTGAAACAAAATTAATTTAAATGTAGTGAGGAAGTAGATTAGTTACGTAGATAAGTTACTTAGTATCAGGAAATATCTGGGACATTAGCACAGAGAAAACACATGTACCAGATGTCTCAATTGACATGCAAAGATGAACAAAGTGTTTCTAACAGGCAACAAGTAACTTCAGGAAAAAATGATATTTTACATATATATAAAAATAAATACTATGCATATACTTACAAAATTATATATAAGTATATATATGTATTTCTATATACAGTGTGTGTCTGTGTGTCCCTATGTATGTATGTATGTATGTATGTACACACACACGCATAGAGACACATACACATACAAAAGGACTTCTGCCCGTTTTTACAACTGCTCTCTTAAGAACCAGGATTGGGAGAAATAATTTGCCTGTTTTCTGAGAAATTCTGATTTTACCTCTACCAAAGAGCAGGACAGCATTTTTGCTGCAACTGCTCTTCCTGGCTTTCTCAAGCTGCAGTATGCTATTCCTCCATTTAGTTGCCATAACCTCTAGGCTCCTACAGGTTAGCATTCCCACATTTCTCACTAGTCCTGTGATGATGCAATTGCTGTACAGCATATTCCACCAAAACTGACTGTAACCCTGCCTGTGTTTTTAAGTAATTTCTTGTTTCACTTAGTTTCCACCCTGCCTTCAACCTCCTGAATGCTATAGGAAATAGTAGTTACACAACACTGATTCAGTTACACAATTTTGTCTTTGTTCAGCTTTTTGAAATAGCCTTTTAAACTCTTTTGGACGTGGACACTATGCTATTAGGAGATATGAACACAGTGGGAGGCAGTGAGACTATTTTGATTAACACTTGAAACCATTCTTTCTTTTTCTCGCTAGACAGTCCCTCAGAGACACAAAGATTAGAAGAAAATAAAAAAAATTAGCAGTGAGTAAAGGAGGCTCATATGTTGGTGCTTGCTTGGCTTAAGTTTGGAGGAACAGACAAGCATATGGAGAAAGACAGCACATTGTTTTATATCTTATCCTTTTAAAAGTAAAAACTTCTAAAATAGTTTCCACATCCTTGCTTTCATTCTGTCTGAAGGGCGTCTCCTCCATTTTCATCTTTTCCCTTACTATTTTCACACCTTCTGAACTCTTGCCTCTTGCTGACACAAGGTGGCATATTGTGTGGAGTCAGCAGCACAGCATATGATAAACCATGCTCATATCATACCTCTAAACTAACCCTCTCAAGCAAGCCCTTCCAAACACAATTGTTAGCCCATGTACCTCCCAAATGGTTTTTTATGGCTATCAGTATATTGGTATTTGACTAAAACATTAATTCTCCAGAAGTAAAACTATCAGAAAATGAAAATCAGAAATACCTGCACTCTGTTTCTTCTTAAGCAAGGAAGCACAAGCTGCGTTTGTTGCCATATCTAAAGCCAGCTTCTTCTCATTGTTTTTCAGGTCTGTTCTTGCCCCTTCATGAAGGAAATTTTCATCATGAATCACAATCCCAGTTATTTCTCAACCACTGTCATTATGATATGAATTTCACTAATGTGGGTAGAACAGTAATGGACAAGGGAATCTGAACTACTGACTGCTCTGAAGCAGACCAAAAGCTATGGACACTCTTGCATAAGCTACAGTTGACTAGGGAACTTGCTGGCTGCCCTTCCTTATTAAGGAAGCAGATGTCATTGCTGTTCTGGGGTTTAAGTGCCTAATTTTGTCTGTAAAGTGGGATTAAATTATCTTGAGCAGGTTAGTTGTCTACTTTCCAAACAGCTGCCAGACTTTTCTGCAAGTTTTTTCCTGCAAGTCAGGCAGGTGAGATGGCTAACAACTGTACCTGTTATATGGAAACAGTTAAGAAATACAAATTAAAAAACATTCAGCAATCTAGTCTGCACACAGATTGTTGAAACTTTAGTAAAGATCTTTACCCTTTTCCAGCAGCATCTCTACAATATCTGCATAACCTTTCCATGCAGCAGCATGCAAAGCTGTGTCTCCCAATTTGTTCTGTGGAGTTAGAGGGAAAAGCAACAGGATTAAAATGCAGCAAAAAACCTTTCAGCTTCTACTAAGGATGAGTAACATCACACCTCTACTTTAAGGGTCTATTAGTTCAACCTACCTGTTGGTTTAACTCTAGGTTTGCCTGGGTAAGCAGGACATCTACTACATCTGCAGAAAACAGGGCGAGAAGGTAAGAGAAGAATTTAGTTGAAAGAAATTATGCTGTTTTTGCATTCATTGTAGTTAAGATCCAATCAAAGACCAATCAAATCAGCTAATGAAAATATGTTAGTCAGACTGCATTAGACAAACAACAACTAGTCACAAAAAGATGCTCCTGCGTGAAATACCCCAAATACTGTCACAGTTCTTTCTGATCTGTCCTTCTTCCACTCTGCCTCTATGTTACACTAATAAGCATGCCTGCTTCAACAGCAACAACAAAACACACAGTACATGATGCAGCTGAACCTCCCTCCTAGCCTGATTTTTATTTTAAAAAACAGAATTATGTTGAAAATACCCTGGCTTTATTATTTAGCACTGCAATTTTTTATTAATCAGCCTAACAAGCATAACAAGAAAACCAGAGAACAATAATTTCAAATTAATGCTCTGATACCTTTATGGCCTCCATGGCATGCCCAATACAGAGCTGTGTTTCCAGCTTTGTCTAAGCCATTGACACCAACTCTATTATCCAAACACTCTCTCAACCAGCTCAGGTTGCCTGAAAGACAAAATCAGTTTTGATTAACTTTTTTCCTTTGAAAAGTTAAAAGAACCATTACAAGTAAATAGTACTTTCTAAATGGTGTCAGTCCTCCCATGAACTTATGAAGAGAGGAAGCGATTAGCAGCAATATTTATAATTCACTGAACAACCAGTCATATCAAGTCATTTCAGCTCATACCAAAGTCATACTAATTCATACCAAATACCTTTTCTTCCATTGCCAGAAGACCCTGTGTAGCTAAATGGATGGTACCATACTTTTTCTGGGTATAGACAGAGTGGCAATTCTACCAGGCAGTATCTCACCTTTTCAAAGCTCTAAAACTTCCCAAATAACTTTCTCAAGAAACAAGACAACCAAAACAGGAAGAACATCTTCGTTCTAAATATTATTAATTATTATTATTAATTCATTTTTATTGTTATTATTACTTATCACTATTATTATTCTTACTATTATTACTAGAGTGGAAAATAAGCAAATCATCCTTCAGCATCACACAACTAAAACACCAAACATACCTCGTTTGGCAGCTTCATGCAGTGGATTATCAATAGACTCTGCTTGCTCAGCCACTGAAATGAAAGAGTAAATTCTAACTACTTCTGAAACATGTATTTGATACCTGTGTGAAAACAAAACATATTTGATTCTAAAATGAAAAGAGATTTGTGAGTGACAGACTAGCGAGAGGCACTTTAATTTCCAGTGTATGGGAAACTAATTCAGAGAAAACCTTGTGAAAAACTTCAAATAGCATCACATTGTACAACTGGTCTAAATCAGAAGATGTGCTTCTAGTACTCTTGTTTCTTAAGGTCTACAAAAGCTTCTGTTCTGCTTATACATGGAATTTTTGCAAATGTGCGGACAGACACCACCTCTCGTACCCCGGTCTAAAATTAAAGCTTTACAAATAATCTCAGTGGGAACATGAATTAACAGATTGTTTGGTTTATTTTAAATATACCACACTTCAATATTCAAAAGAAATTTGGATTACTTTTGGAATTTTTTTATCATTATGCAGCACATATAAACTAGTCTTCTTGCATATTAACAGTGCATGACCCCTGATCTCTGGCAGACAGCAAGAGTAGAGTCAGTTCGGAAGTCACAAACTAAAGTGAAATTTGATGCAGCCTCAATGACTACACCATAGATTTCTGTTAATGTATTTCTAGTAACTACAGCACAGGGAAACAGAGCATGGCTACTATAATCTCTCCAACTGAAGAAGGGACAACATGAACCAACCTAAGTCATTTTGGCAGCTGCGATGCAATCTGTCATGAGACACTGCTACACTGCCTACAGTTCCTGGCAGGACTTGGAGGAATTGTGTTGTCTGTACTCATGGCTTTTAAAAGTGATTTTAGTTCAATCTGAAAAAGCAGTTTCTATTCAGTCCAAACATGTATGGGATATTTAATGTGGTACAAACCCTAAGAAACCAATGTTTTCTATGGCAGAATATATTCACTACAAAACAACAACAGGCAAACAAAATTCCATCCTTTAGATCCAAGTGTTCTTCCCCTCAAAACTGAGAGTATCTCAGTATCTGTTAAGTGCATAACCAGAAACACGAACACTCGGCAAACTCAAGCTGTCCCTGGGTTATAAAAACACATGACAGCTTGTCCACTGCTGATGTACAGTGGTAACTGATACTGCACATGGATGTATTCTGAAATACATGGTGGAGTACTGTTAAGTACCAATACTGTGATCTCCTTTTCAAAAGACATCTTTTTATTTAGTGATTTTCTTTGATTGTGAATGATCTTAGGAAATAAAAATATTCTAGACTTTACCATAGTTACTTGGAATAAGTCCAGTTCTCCCTTTGCAAGTTCCTTTCCACCAATTTGTATCACTCTGCAAAGAAAACAGAAAATATTTTAGATGGGTTATATTGCATCTCAGAATTCATTCAGTCAGTGTGGGATGTCTTGGACTCACCATGTCAGAGATGTAAATGATATCTCCTTCTTCAAAGTACAGTTCATCTGGCTTTAAAAAAAAGAAAAAAAAAAAAAGTAAAGAAATATATCTGAATGTGTGTACATAGGAAAAACAAATGCCTGTATAGGTCAGAATACATTCACCTCTTCATTCAAAAGAATGACCACTCAAATTCTCTATCACCTAGACAACAGCTAGACAGTCCATAGTTTGACTTTATTACAGCTAACTTTCTGGATCAGTAACTTTCCTAACAACACAGGAAGACTGTGGCCTTTCCAACAAAGCGCTGTACAAAGGAAGCAGTGAAATGTATCTTATGTTTGTTAACTTCATTCTCTTTTTCATTGGTCCCAGTTCTCCAGATCTCTAAGATTCCAACTATCATTGTTGTCTTTGGAAGAAAAAACAAATTACTTAAGATTTCTGATCCTTGATTGTAGGTAACTGATACTACAGAAGAAAGCATGCTACTTTTAAACAGAGCTGTTCTTAAAAAAACCTGATGATTAACCAGAGTTTTATTCACATTAAGAATTGACTATCCATCAACAGTTTATTAAAAATTTAGTACAATAAGTCTAATATGCCAGTAACAGCAGAACTGATGAAATATTAGAGACAAGGTTAAAAGTAAGATTCTTAAACCACTGAAGTATAGATGTACTTACCGTTCTGGGCTCAAACGTATACAGGGCTCTGAATACTTTAACCTGACCTAAAAAAAACCCACAAACAAACAAACAAACAATTAAAAAAAATCAGTACCAGAATCGTGCCTTTAAATGCAGCCCTTAAATCCAAATACATTCCTTTCCTTCAAGCTTAATGGTGGTTGCTGAATGAATTTGTGCTATGCCTCTATCAGAGAAAATCACAATGAAAAGACTCAGCAGCCTGAGTTAAAAAACCCAGCAACATGGGTTATGAAGGAAACTGGCCACCTGATTAGTTACATGTAAGTAACCTCTTCTGCACACTTAACACAGTCATTATAGCTCACTGGGCAACAGAAGTGTTGTCACTGATTCTAAGGAAAAACGTAATTTTAATCATGTGTACCCTCACACACTCATACATTGCTGTACGTACTTTTATTACCAGCATCAAATCTGTCAAATGACAAAGAATTAAGGAAAGAAGAAAGAAACGAACCAATGACAAATTTCACCAACATATGCTTACACTTACTTGCAGTCATTATTAGGAAAATAATGCAGTAACACAGAACTCACAAAGAAAAATGATCAACAGTTACAAAGTCCTATTTAATGTACAGCTGATGTCCTGTTTTAGTCAGATGTTTAAAATAAGGCATAGGGTTTGCAATTCCAGTAAGTGGCTAACAGATGTTTTAATAGGGCACTTTGGAAGAGAATGTCAGCATTCAAGCCAAGAAAAAAATCAACCTTAATGCAGAGAGGTTCAAATTAAATTGCATAAACTGCAAGAGAAGCTTCCCTACAAACTTTTTAAAATTCAAACAGTACATTTCTAGAGCATGAACAGAAAGTACAAATACAGAAGTAACACGTATGTTACATAGTTTAATTAGCCAAAATACTGGAGTCCACTGGACTTACTGGAGGAATATATTATGCAGACTGTTCTGTATTGTTTACTTTTAGGTATATGAAGTCTTAAGCATGTAGGTTTGTTTACTTTTAAATGTTTTAAGCTTGCAAGTGTAGGTTACACAAAGGTTCTTACACTATATGTGTTTATAAAGATTAAGTTGTGACTGAAGCAGTGTTTGATCCACCAGGAGAATGTGCTACTTAGGTCACACTAGGTCTAGGCTATTTTGTGTTCTCAGAGAAACTGATGAACTTATTACTAAAGGCTATACAGTAAAATAAAGTGTACACACGCAACATCTTTTGTTGTTTATTAAATGGAGCTAAGTGAGTAAAGACAGAGTAGAATAAACCTTTACATTTTTAATTAAGAACCATCATCTCTAGAATTCTTTTTGTGGTTTTTTTTTTTTTCTGCTAGATGTAGTCTTTATTATCCCAGTATCTAAAATCCTACCCACAAAAGTGCTCATTTTAGAAAGTTAACTTAAGGGCTTTAAAAATTACATTTTGGAGGTGAACATGCTGACCACCTTGAGAAAGGAGGATGGTACCCAACTGCCATTTTGCAGCAATTGCTGCCCATTGGGGTAGCTCTTGAATTATATTTTCAATATGTCTCTGGATATTCCCTAGCAACAGGAATGCCAAGGCATAGTTGCCAATGCAAAACTACTAATGAAAACATTTCTGTAGTTGTCTATTCTCAGGCTTTTTTGTCACTAAGTGTATATAAAACAACAAACGTAAAATGGATCTGTGTAATCACATTGCCAAGTGCATGTAGATACTGTACATATTTTTTTTTCCAATATGTAATTGTTCTTCCCAGTTCCTAATTTTTAGTAACAGAAATTCAATTTGGCTTTATTGGTTGGTTCTCTCTTTCACACAGCAGCCATTTCCTAGACATTAAAGTTGCAACACTTCTCAAACCTTTGCCCCAGAAACAAAATACTTGCAGCTGTGGTAACTGCTAAAAAGAATGAAAGCTGAGTGATGTTTACTACCAGTACAGAGATGATGAACAAGGACAGCACACAGTAATGCATTCTAGACCAAAGAGCTCCAGCACAAAACATGAACTGCAGTTACAAGAAGCCAAGCAATAATAACAAAAAATAAAGGAAGAAAAAAAAATAAAAGAAAAAAGAACAAGAGATGACACAACAGGATGGAAGACAGGTGTACTGACCCTTCTCCTTGGCTTTCTCACACAGAAGACACAAAAACACAAGACAGAACTGCACATAACTATGGAGACTGCAACTGTCATGCACCAATTTTCAGTGTGAGAGGAGGAAATGGACAACAAAAGGGAAGAGTAAGAAATAATAAAAGGGGAAATGAGAAGATGACAGAAGACAGGGAAAAGGAGGAAATACACATTTGTGTGTTGCATGTGTCTTTCATACTAATGTACTTCATATGTGCCAACAGATACTCTAAAGCTATCACACCTGTGGAGACAAGACTGGAAACACTGATGCTGATTACAGTACGGCTGACACATTTTTTAAACAAAAAGCAATTCATTGTTTGTTTGTGGGTTTTTAAAAAATTCTATAAACCAGAAACAGGGAGTTACTTCCCCAAACGTCCAACTGTGGTGTTGCACACAGACTAAAACATTCTTCTGTGATGAAATACAAAGTATACATCTGCATCTACAAAACTACAGGTCTGGTTACTGTTAATTTCATAGCACTTTATATTGAAGTTAAACACTACTCATTACTGTCACCAATCTCTAAAGAATTTCTTGATAAAGAGATACTAAGCCTGTTTACTTTGTTTCATTTAAGAGCTTAGAACAAGGGGACTTTAGCATTTGTAATAGCTTTTTTGGTATCAAATTCTACCGCACAAATTCAGTCTAGAAGATTAAAATAACAAAATCTTAGCATACAAAGGGCACATTAGACTTGAATCCCAGTTCTGCATACACAGAGAAATCGTATTTTATTAGGCACAGGGGTACCTGTCATCACTGGAAGTACCTTTATCTAGCAATACTTATCTCTAGGCATGCAGACAGATCTTGCATTGGCAATAATTTCTGCTTTGGAAGACACAAAAAGTTAGAAAGCACCCAAGGTCTTCCTCTGCTCCCACTTATACTATCTCTCTAGTACAAACCACGTTTCAAGATTCTTGTAGGACAGTGAACCAGTAATCAGCACCAATTTGAACTTACCAAAATTGACTGACTGTACCTCCCCACCACATACTTTTAAGGGACTAAGTAACTAGAACACAGAATATATATGTACTTTTTTAATATTTCAAGACACCAGGCACACATAAATTATTTTATTCTCTGCATGATCAATGAGAGGAGTATCCCTTTTAAAAGTAAAGTAGATGGAGGCACAGGGCAGTGATATGTCCCACAAAAAATCTTTTTCTAAGCACAGTGACAGATCTAAGGGGTTCTTTTCAGTCCTGTTATGCCTGTTCTGCTTGGTGGGTTTAGGGGAAAGTTGTTTTGAGTCATTTGGAACAGTGTGCAGGAGAAACAACAAAAATCTTCAATAACAAACCTTTGCATGCAAACTTTCAGAACACTAAGGTAGAATTAGATACTCGGCAAATTTTAAAGCAAAATCCAGACTAAGGCACTTCAGAAACTTTAACTTAGCCAGCTTTAACTTAACCATTTACTAGACATTTACTAAGGCTTTGACTGGAATTTTTTCATCTGGTTTACGATATATTTCCAGAAGAAGTTAGGAGAAGAAAGACAGAAAGAAAGGATAAGAACAGAAAGATATCACCACCCATGGACCCAATGACAAGACTAGCAATTTTGATGTCCACATGTTGTCCATGTCAAAGTGATGGTAACAAACTTCACCCATAGGAAAAACGCATGAAACACAAAGTTAAATGTATTAACATATGCTCAGGTTCAGGTGGGAATGCTCAGGTACCTTTGGGAAGGGACAGCGGAAATCAAAACTTTCTGATACAACACCATGGATGATCTGGAGTCCTCTGGTGGAAAGCCTCAGAAATTGGTCTGGGGTTGGGGTTTTGGATGGTTTATGGCACATGCTAAGACATGACAGCTGCCTCTCAAGTCGGTATAGTTAAGCTAGTTACACCCTACCCGCAGGGATGAATACCTTCAGGGTTATGGTGAATGTCTGACACCTTCCCCACTGAAGGAAGTTTTCACACCTGAGCCAGTTGAGTAAGGGAAGATGTGATAAAACACTTCTTATATGCCTCTTCCCTTATCTGGCTCAAACTCCAGTTTCTTGATAAACATGGGTTGGTTTGTTGTGGTCATCCTCTGGTGCCCACACTCTCTACCTGGACTGTTTATCTTCCACATCATCAGCAAAGCACACCTTGCTTTTGCAAACTTGAGACATCAACCAGTAATATTTCAGTTTCACAAACTCTGAACTTTAGTCTTAAGATGTGTCTTCTCCCTTCTTATGGAATTTGCATTAAACATCTGCAAAACAACTGTCTGACAAATAAAAAAGGTAACTTATTATACATACTAAATAGATACAAATCTCTCAAGTCACAACTTTACAAACCCTCCTTCAGCAATGCACCACGGTAAAGGAGTCAAACTAACTTTTCTGTGTAACTAGCAACATATAAGTAATGTCAAGCTGGGCTGACCCTACATCTTTTAATTTATTTTCAATGACTCACCTATAAACTTCTCCAGCTTTTCTGAGGAAGTGAAACACAAAACTCAGAATTCTAAGATGATCCTTTCCCCATGCATAAAAGCAATAAAATGGAGAAACTAAACAGTAACAACAGCTTAAAAACACAGCTTCTGATAGGTACTGAAGAGAGATACATGCTGTGCTTCATAATGCCAAGTAATAAAAAGACCTCACAAAACTGAAACGCCGTCTTCTAAAAAGACTGTGAGATTTTTGTTTTCTTCTTACAACTTTGAGGTTTTATTTTAAATCAATTGCAGTATCATTAACAGAAGATTGCTTCCAAAGAAGTGTTAAGTAAGGAGCACAGCAACAAGGAGTTACTGTTTCTCTCACAGTGACTTTTTTTCCCCACTTCCTTTCTGTTCTTCCACTCTAGCTTCTCTAAACCACCACAGACACTAGCATTAAAATCCCCTCTACCATCGAAACATTCTCCACTCTTA